CAGTTCCCAGCTAATGTCCCACTTCTACCTACTACATAAACACACACACAGGAAATTATTTTTAAAAGAAAAAAAATTAAAGCCAGACAATGGTGGCCCACACCTTTAAACCCAGCACTAGGGAGAGAAAGGCCAGCATGGTCTACAGCTCAAGTTCCAGGACAGCAAAGGCTACACCAGGAGACCCTATCGCAAAAAAAAAAATAAATAAATAAAAATAAATAAATAAAAAAATAGGGGTTGGAGAGATGACTCAGTGGTTTAGAGCTTTTGCAGAAAAAGGAATCTGGATTCCATTCCCAGTACCCACATGATGGCTCACGGGCATCCATAACTCCAGTTCCAGGGACCCAATGTCATCCTCTGACCTCTGTGGGCACCATGCAGGTAGGTGGTGCACAGACATACATGCAAGCAAAATACCTATATATACAAAACATAAATAAATCTATAAACAAAAATGAAAATAAACCTGGATGGCATAACATCTGTAATACCAGCATTTAGTAGGATTACCTGCAGTTCAAAGAAAGCCTGGGCTACCTAGCAAGACCTTGTATCAGAAAACAAATGAATAAATTATGAACAAAACAGTTCTAAAAGACATTTACTATAGGGTTGAATGTTTGAAAAGAGCCTAGGCTACATAGTGAGACTCCATCTGAGAAAGAAAGAAAAAAAAAAGGCGTGGTGTCCCACACCTCTAATTTTAACATTCAAGAAGCAGAGGCAGGAAGATCTCTGTGAGTTTGAGGACAACCTGGTCTACAGAGTGAGTTCCAGAACAGCCAGGGCTACACAGAGAAATCCTGTCTTCAAACAAACAAGATAATTTAAACAAAATGATAAGGACATCTGCGTGTGGTGTACACCCCATAGCCAGAGAGCTGGGGGAAGAGGCTCAGAAGTTTTGTTTTCTTTGAGACAAGGTTTTACTGTGCAGCCTTGTCTGGACAGGAAGTCCCTCTGTAGACCAGGCTGGCCTTAAACTCAGAGATTTGCCTGCCTCTGCCTCCTGAGTCCTGGGATTAAAGTCATATGCCATCACTGCCTGCCTAGGATCAGAAAATTTTTTATTTTTATTTATTATTTTTAAAAAAGATTTATTATGCATACAGTGTTCTGTCTGCATGTATGCCTACAGGTCATAAGAGGGACACCCAATATCATTACAGATGGTTGTGAGCCACCATGTGGTTTGCTGGGAATTGAACTCAGGCCCTCTGGGAGAGCTGAGCCATTTCTCCAGGCCCAGAAAACTTTTTAAATAGTTCATTTATTTGTGTTTCATGCACATTGGTGTTTTGCCTATATGTCTGTCTGTGTGAGGGTGTCTGATCCCCTAGTACAGGAGTTACAGATAGTTGTGAGCTGCCTTGTGGGTGCTGGGAATTAAACCCAGGTCCTCTGGAAGAGCAGTCTGTGGTCTTAAGGATATCCTTGACTACATAGTGAGTTCAAGGCCAGCCTGGGCTTCATAGTGAGACCCTATCCAAAAACAAAACAAAACTAAAATGCAGATAAAAAATTGCATTTCGGGTCATTTTTCCACAGAATACTTATGGAAGTTCCCCACAAATTACAACTTTTTAAAATTAATATTTTTTAAAGATTTTATTTATTATGTATACAACATTCTGTTTCCATGTATATCTGCACACCAGTAGAGGGCACCAGAACTTATAATGCACCACCATGTGATTGCTGGGAATTGAACTTAGGACCTCTGGAAGAGCAGTCAGTGCTCTTAACCTCTGAGCCATCTCTCCAGCCCCTAAAATTAGTATTTAAATAGGGAACTGGGTGGGTTTTTTAACAATTATTATTATTTAGTATCAGAATCTCTAAATTTTCCACTGTCAAGCCACCAAACCAACACCAAGAAAGACATGAGAACTGTGGGGATGTTTCCTAGTGTGCCCCCAGAGATTCAGGGTTTTTTGTTTTGGTTTTGTTTTTTTGCACACGAGGCCTGCAGCCCCAGCCTGTGCTCATCAGTCACCACCAGCTTTGATGCTGCTGGTAGTTCCCAGGATTACCTCAAGGAGGCGCGCTGCACCTTGTCCCTCGGCCAGAAGCCGATTCTCGGCCAGCCCTGATGCAATTCCCAGGGCTGCTGAAAGGTGGCGCGCTGCACTTTAAACAGCAGCCAATGTCCTTTCCCTACCCACGCGCCCCCTCCGAGCCCGCCCACCAGCCAGGCAAGTGCCAGGGGTCATGAATGTGTCTGGGGCTTGCTAGGGATGGCATGGGAAGCAAGCGTTTCATAGACACAAATCAGAGCGCTGTATTTCCCCCAGGCAACAGTTCAAAACCTTCGAGGAGTGTTAGCCTAGTCTGGCCAGACCCCTCTAAGCACAGCGAATACCAGGCAGGCCCCTTCCTCATGGGGGCCGAGGGTTGCCTTGCTAAGACACTGGGGAGCGGGAATTTAGTGTTTACGGTTTCTTCATCTACCAAATGGAGAGTGACTGCAACATCAAGTCCGGGTTCTATCCCAGCACCGCATAAGCCACGTGTGGTAGGGCATGCCTTTATCCACAGAAAACAGAACTCACAAGTTTAATAGGGTAGTCTTTTGTTTCATAGCATGTTTGAATCCAGCCTGGGCTACAAGAAACGTCTCAAAAGTGGGGCCTGGGGTGTGCGCTCGCATTGGACCTGGAGCAAGAACCAATGAGCCCCTGGACCTGTACGTGGCACAGAAATGCTCAGTGAGCAACCATGCGTCCATCCAGATGAATATGGCCGAAGTTGACAAGGTCACAGGAGAGTTTAATGGCCAGTTTTAAACCTATGCTAGGGTTCAAAGAGATGGCTCATTGGTTAAGATCACTGGTTGTTCTTCCAGAGGACCCAGGTTCAATCCCCAGCACCCACATGACAGCTCACAGCTGTGTGTAACTCCAATTCCTGGGGCTATGGCACCTTCAAATACAGACATACAGACATACATGGAAGCAAGAACACCAGTGCACATGAAATAAAAATGAATAAAATTAAAAATAAAACCTATGCTAGGGGCTCAGCGGTGAAGAGCACTTGACTGAGTTTTCAGAGAACCTGAGTTCGATTCCCAGTAACAACACAATGGTGGACAACCAAATGGAATCAGATTCCTTCTTCTGATGTGCATAAAGACAGGGCACCCATATACATAAAATATAGGAATAAACCAGGCAGTGGTGTCGCACACCTTTAATCCCAACACTCAGGAGGCAGAGGCAGGCAGATGTCAGAGAGTTGGAGGCCAGCCTGGTCTACAAAGTGAGCTCCAGGACAGCCAGAGTTATTCAGAGAAACAAAAACAAACAAACAAACAAAACATGAATAACTAAATCTTTTTAAAAATAAAATGATAAAAAATAAAACCTATGCTATCTTCTAGATGGGCAAGGTGAGTTGATTCTCCAGTTGGCTAACGCTGATGGAACCGTCTAAAAGAACTTTTCATCAGAGAAAATAGAACGTCATAAATAGTGAAAAACTACTGGGCAGTGGTGGCACACTTCTTTAATTCCAGCAGAGACAGACGGATCTCTGTGAATTTGAGGCCAGCCTCATCCACAGTGCAAGTTCCAGGACAGGTTCCAAAGCTACAGAGAAACCCTGTCATAGGACACCCCCCCAAAACAAGTGAGAAACTAAAATAAATAAATGGGCGTTAGATGGTGGAGGAGGGTGAGATGCTTCACGGGGTATGGTGTTTACTGGCTCCTTAGGATGGATCCATGAGGTGGAGGGAGAGAACTGAGGAGAGTTTCTCATGCCTGCTGTGGGCACCCACACACATGCACACGGGCACAGAATACATAAGTAAATATAGGTTTTAAAGACAGGGTCTGTCTTAGCACTTGGGAGGCAGAGGCAGGCAGATCTCTGTGAGTTCAAGAACAGATCTACAAAGTCAGTTCCAGGACAGAGCCAGGGCTATTACACAAAGAAACCCTGTCTTGAAACACCAAAACAAATAAATAAAATAAATAAAAGGACAGGGTCTCACTGTGACTAGGCTGGCCTGAACTGACATACCTGGGAGTAAGGGAATTCCCCACCAACTCCTTTAATTACCTTTAATTCTAGTACTCAGGAGTTCCAGGCCAGCCTGGAGTACATAAAGAGTTCCAGACCAATTGGAGCTGCATAGTGAGAGCCTGTCTCAAAATAAATGAAGAATAAACAATTTTAAAAGCTTTTAAAAATATTTATTTAGTTTATGTATGAGTGTTTTGCTCACATTCATTTCTGTGCATCATATGAATGTCTGGTGCCCTTGGGGTTCAGATAAGGACACTGAATGCCCTGGAACTGAAGTTACTAATCATTACGAACCACAACTTGGCATCTGAGAATGAAACCCAGGTCCCCAGCAAAAGCAACAAGTATTCTGAACTGCTCAGCCATCACTCCAGCCCCTATTTTATTTCCTTCCTTCCTTCCTTCCTTCCTTTCTTCCTTTCTTTCTTTTTTGTTATTTCAAGATGGTGTCTCTGTGTAGCCTTGGCTATCCTAGAACTAGTCCTGTAGACCAGGCTGGCCTGGAACTCACAGAGATCTGTCTGCCTCTGCCTCCCAATCGCTGTGATTAAAGGCATGTGCCACCATTGCCTGACAAAAACACTTTACAAGATGATGATTAGAACCCTCTGGGGAAAATAAAATAATAAATAAATAGATGAATGCATTTATTGTGAAAGATCACAGTGAGGCCAGCAGCTCAAATTGTTTTATTGTAGTTGTATTTTGTATGAAGAACCTGACTCCACACTATGAAAACTTATCAGTTGAGATCTGGCGAAGGCTCCAGGGTCAAGTTTCTGGAGCCAGGCTTACCTTGCTGTCGTTCTCCACAACTCTGCCTCACTCTGGAGCCAATCATTCACCCTGTCAGCTGTTAGCGCACTCTATCTAGACTTCACCTGCTTCTGAACGTGCGGGGAGCTCCCCCACCCCCTTTACAAAATCATTTTCCAGTCACAGGGTATCTGTGGAGGCCTGAATCTGGGCAAATCCCGACTTTGTTTAGAACTCTGTGGCTTCCACTTCACTCAGAGTCAGATCACAGGCCTTCCTCAGAATCAACAAGACTTCCCACAATCTACCCTTTCAGCTTACGGCTCCTCCTCAACTTCTGCTCCAGTCACACTGACTGGCTCTGCCTCAGGATTCCCAGCTCAGGTGACGTCACTAACCATCCTCCTTCCCGTCGCTTTCTCCTCATTACTATTGTCCATGTCAAACGTACGAGAGGCATGCATTTTTGTCTGTTCCTGTTCTGGGACAGTTGATCCATTTCCCTCCCTTCTTTTCTGTCGGAGAATCAGTCTGCTCTTAGAAGGGCCACAGTGGGCTGGGGAGCATCAGTCTGTAGCAGCAGGCACCAGGGTCCGATTGGTGGTTGCTGCTCCCGGACTGCCGGTGGAGCAGCTAGTGTCCGCCCTGTCCTGATGGGGAGACGAATGTTCTGATGGGCTGGAGCTGCGATCCAGGCTTGGTGGCAGGCAGCGTCGTAGGCCACCGCCCGAAGGCCCAGCAGCACTAGGAGACCGCTGCAAGCTGTTGGAGGAGCCCTGGTTACAGGGCCCTCGGCCACAGCAGAGCAGCCGCAGGAGGGCGTGGCGCAGGTCTCGGTTGGTGAACGTGTAGATGATGGGATTCAGCAGCGAGTTAGCCATGGCTAAGCCCAGGAAGGGGTCCGCCTGCAGGAGCACGGGACACGCGCGGGCTGGGCACGCTACATCCAGCAATAGCAAAAGAAACAGAGGTCCCCAGCAGGCCACGAAGGCCAGGAGCACCACGCTGAGCGTGCGGAGCAGGGCCAGCGACCGTGGCGTGTGCCGCGATCGCGAGGACGAGGTGGCCCTGCGGGACCCAGGCCGCGCCCGCAGTCGACGCGCGTTGGCTCGCACTTGGCAATAAATCCTTGCATAGAGCGCACAGATGGCAGCCAGGATGCCCAGGAACGCCAGCACGCAGAAGAGCACGTAGGCCTTGGCACACTGCGGCAGCACAGTGGAGCAGGTTTCCAGGCGTCCCAGGCAGTTCCAGCCCAACGCAGGCAGCAGCCCGAGCAGCAGCGACGCGCCCCAGGCGGCCACAGCCATCGCCAGTGTGCGAGCGCGACTGGCGGCGGGCGCCGGTCCTCGACGTGCCATGGTGAGGTGGCGCTCCAGCGCAATGGCCAGGAGGCTCAGCACCGATGCGGCCAGTGCCACGAAAACGCCCCCCTCGCGCGCAAACCAGAGCGCGGGCGACAGGCGCAGCGTGAGCGGTCCCGACAGCAGGATGTTGGTGGCATAGGCCGCCCCCGCCAACAGGTCCGACAGGGTGAGGCTGCCCAGGAGCAGGAACATGGGCGCATGGAAGCGAGGGTGGCGGCCCAGCACCAAGAGCACTGCCAGGTTCTCCAGCACGATGAAGGCGCACACAGCCAGGCACACGGCGGCATCTGCGCGCAGACCGGCGCCGGGCTGGTAGCGCGCTCCCCGAAGCTTGCCGGTGTAGTTGTAATGAAGGGCGATGACCTCGCTCACGGGCGCTGGCCGCAGCAGCCCGGGCTCCATGGGCCGCGCGCTACCCGCAACGGAGAGGTCGCTGCTGTGTCCTGCTGGTTGTCCAACGGAGCACTGTGCAGAAAGTCTACGGAAGGCAAGGACAGTCAGGATCTTGGAATCCTGGAGAAAGAGCCCTGGAAGAGGGTCCCTAACTCCTGAGCCCTCCCACATACCAAAAGTTGTCCTTTGACCCTCCACACATGAATAGAAAATAAATAAAAGTTAATAAAGTATTTGTTTTTAAAAAGAAAAACTAGGGCTGGAGAAATGGCTCAGAGGTTAAGAGCACTGGCTGCTTTTCTAGAGGTCCTGAGTTCAATTCCCAACAACCACATGGTGGCTCACAACCATCCATTATGAGATCTGGTGCCCTCTTCTGGTGTGCAGATATACATGGAAGCAGAATGTTGTATACATAATAAATAAATAAAATCTTTTTTTTTTTTTGGTTTTTCAAGACAGGGTTTCTTTGTGTAGCTTTGGAGCCTATCCTGGCACTCGCTCTGGAGACCAGGCTGGCCTCGAACTCACAGAGATCCTCCTGCCTCTGCCTCCCGAGTGCTGGGATCAAAGGCGTGCGCCACCAACGCCCGGCAAATAAAATCTTTTTTAAAAGAAAGAAAGAAAGAAAAACTAGCCATGGTGGCCACACTCCTGTGATTGCAGCAGTCCAGAAGCAGACTGGAGGAGGGGGGGCTCTTGGTGCACACCTGTTACCCCAGGACTTGACAGATGGAGGCAAGAGGATCAGTAGTCAAGGCTATCTCATCAGCTACATAGTTAAGTCTGAGGACAGCTTGGGCTCTGAGACTCCATGTCAAGTTGATAAAAAGAAATTCCCATAACACAAAAGCAGAGACGCATCCACACATACTCATAAACAAAAGAGAATTCAAAAAATCACGGCTATACAGACAATCTCAGACAGGGACACGCAACCCGGAAGGAGCGCCACACAGACGAGGGCACAGATACACCAGAGATGGCATGCCGGGAGGCCCTGAGTGCCAACTCCAGTGTTGACCTCCTCCCTCCTCCAAAATCGGCACACTCCCTCTTAGCCAACTGCAGAGAAACACAAGAATACATTTTTACATGAAACATTCACACAGAGTCAATGACAGAAACCACCAAAGGGGCTCAACCCTGGGAATGGTCTCACACCCAGTAGAACAGGCCACAATTTCACAACCTCTACCCACAGCCAGCTTGGGGCCCAGTGCCCCACACTGCATATGCTTTGACACACATAGGCTTCTGAGTGTTTTTTAAAAAAGAAATGTCATCTCCTCCAAGCCCCAGTGAGAAAGTTGGTTCTGGCCACTCACTGCAGGGTCAGTAGAGACTCATGTCATTAAATCACAATGACTCCTCTAACCTGCCAGCAACCCTTTGACCCTCTCACAGTTCTTCCTGTAGTCCCGGTTTACATATGAGCAAAAATGGGTTCCTAAAGAAATACCTTGCAAGGCTGGCAAGATAGCTCAGTGGGTAAAGGAGCTTGCACCCAAACTAATGACTTCTGCTTCATGTTTGGAATCCACACAATGTAAAGAGAGAACCAACTCCCACACACTGTCCTCTGACCATTTGTGTTGTGGCATGCTTACATCCACAGTTCCACCGAACCATACACACACACACACACACACAAATGAGATTTTTTTTTTTTTTGAGACAAAGTCTTACTATGCAACCCTGACTGGCCTGGAACTTAACAGCAATCCACCTGCTTTGTCTTCCCAAGTGCTGGGATTAAAGGTGTGTGCCACCATATCCTCTAAAAAAAATTTTTTTTTTTTTTTTGGTTTTTCGAGACAGGGTTTCTCTGTGGCTTTGGAGGCTGTCCTGGAACTAGCTCTTTTAGACCAGGCTGGTCTCGAACTCACAGAGATCTGCCTGCCTCTGTCCTCTAAAATTTTACAAAAGAAATGCCTTGCATAGATGCCTTGGACTCAATTTAAACAGAGGGCAAGGCCTCAGGTACCCCATGATGGCTTCAAATTAAACAGTTAAAAATTACATTGAATTTCTATCCTCCTGCAGTTAGGAGTTACAGGAGCATCCCACCGCCCCAGTTTATCAGGACATGCATCCCCAGGCTCTCTGCATATTAGGCAAGCCCTCCACCAACTGAGGCCCTCTTAGTTCTATTTTATGTACGAACAGAGGGAGACTCTAAAGAAATGCCTTGTATAGAAGTAGATCCAAGCCTGGTGTGGAGGCACAAGCCTTTAATCCCAGCACTCAGGGGTCAGAGGAAGGATTCCTTCCTCTGAGTTTGAGACCAGCCTGATCTACAGAGTGAGTTCCAGGACAGCCAAGGCTATACAGAGAAACCCTGTCTCAACCATCAAACAAAAGTAGATCCAAAGGTGTCCGTTTCTCTCACAAACACAGTCCCACAAAAATAGTGACATAATTCACAGAAGTCCCTCTTAGCAGATGAGAAAAATCCAGGGGGACAGATTCTCAATACCAGGAAGGCAAATGGACAAAGAGGTCCCAGACAGCTTCAGAGTCACACAGGAGACAAGCTGGAAAGTCAGACACAGACTTGGAGGTTGGGCCACTCTAGGTGCTGGAGAGGCATCAGATACAGAGCCACGGGTCACGCAGCATTCTCAGCTGCGGCACACTCAGCAAAGGGTCAGGACTTTTTTTACCAACGCTCCGGTGACTAGATTTCCCTGGGAAAAGGAAAAGTTTGCAGGAGCCCAGCCAGGCTGAGGTTGCCTGGGGTCCCCACTCTCTCCCAGCTGGGGACCTGCGAGTTCCCCTGGGGTTTTCAGTTTTCTCCGCTCTGGGGGCGAGGGGAGGTCTAGGATAAAGGATCTAGAAACTGCAGCAAGGAGCGTTGTGTCCTTCCAGCCCCGTAGTCGCTCCAAGGAGCCGAGTCCCACTTCCTGCGAGGTCCCCAGTGCTGGACACTCACCTCTGCGCCTGGTCGTGCGCCCAGGGCTGTGCGCCTGGGAACCCTGCACAGCTGCAACGCAGGCGGGGCTGGAGGTGTCAGGCCTGGGGGCGGGCCCGCGAGGAGGAGTGCTGGCGGTCCCCAGCAATTGCCCCCTCCTCCTCCCAGCCCCGGGTTGCCAGCCTGTGCCACCCGCCGCAGCACCGGAGAGCGCCCCAGCGGCGACTGGTACCAGCAAGTCCTAGCGTCTCCCTCCGGTCCCCTCCCACGGACACCCGGGGGTGGGAGGGCCCAGAATCTCGGGGAAGGGAGGGGCTCTCTTGGTGAACCACACCCCTACTCCAGTTAAGGGGTTCAGTCTGTCCTGTGATGCCTGGACCCCTGAGCCTGCATCCCAAAGACACCTTAATAGCGCAGTACCTGGGCAGCGCGATTTATGAGCTACTTGGAGTGGGCGCGGCTGCTGGTCTTCAGGCCTCACCCGGTGCGAACAGGTCTCCTCTGCTCCAGCAGCACAGGCCCCTCCCCCATTTTCCGATCACTCTCAAGGGGCAAGTGGGGGAGGGGGTGCAAGCTGGATGACGATGGGAACTTACAGGTCCCCAAATAAGTAGAATGCGACTCCTTCCGTCCGCAGCCTCTGTCTCCGCCCCACTTCCCTCAACCTTTAAGATCTCAATCCCGAGATGGAGCATTTGTTCTGTTTGGGGGACAGGGGTTTGTTTTGTTTTGTGAGACAGGGTTTCTTTCTCTATAGACCTTGCTGTCCTGGAACTTGCTCTGTTGACCAGGTTGGCCTCGAACTTAGATCCCCCTGCCTCCGTCTCCCAAGTGCTGCTATTAAAGGCGTGTGCCCCCACCACCTTTAATGGGAACGTATTTGACGCTGTCTTGAACACTTCTGAATAAGTAAGGTAATCAATGAATGTCTACTTGCTGTCTCTCCCCTAAGGTCTATTTTTAAATTTCTTAAAATTATGCTTATTTGTGTGTGTGCGTGCATGTGTGTATCTTGTCATGTGTGTGGAGATCAAAGGACACTTTGTCAAAGTTGGTGTTTTACCCTCCCCCCTCATTGTGAGTCCCCAGGATTGAACTCAGGTCCTTAGGCTTGCAGCAAGTCCCTTTACGCACTGGGCCATCTCTCTGGCTCCTCTCGGAGCTTCTTGGTATGTTCCTCTCTGTCTCTCTGTCTCTTTATTTCTGTCTCTGTCTCTGTCTCTGTCTCTGTCTCTTTGTTTCTGTCTCTGTCTCTGTCTCTCTCTCTCTCTCTCTCTCTCTCTCTCTCTCTCTCTCTCTCTCTCTCTCTCTCTGTGTGTGTGTGTGTGTGTGTGTGTTTCTTCCTCCCTGCTGTGTTGCTCTCCCACGCCTCTCCCAGGCCACTCCTCCAGCAGGCTAACCTCAGCTGGCCCTACGCCCACCCCCCTTTATTCCCAAGAGATTCCTGCCAGGGCCCTGCTCTTCCAACCTCAGACCAGTGGCCACAGTCTGGTTTTGGTGTCTGTCTGAGTGACCTTCCTGGGTACCATACCCTTTGCCCAGGGTCACTCCAGACCCAGCTGGCCAGATGTCAGGGGCGGGTGAGAGGTGAGCACATATCAGAAGCCATAAGAAGGCTGGGGGTTGGAGAGAGTCTAAAGTTGTTCCCGGAGAGAGGAACAGCGACAAGTCTCAGGTTAGCTCGTGTCCCTAAAAGTAGCTCCTTGGAGGATCCTCAACGCTCTGAGCCCAACTGTTCCCAGTGGGCAGAATCGCTCCTCCCAGTTTTAACCAATGGAAAACACTCGCAGCATAGCCAATAGTTTGGATTGGGCCGGACCTTAGGTACCTGGTTCCTCACAACTCCAGAGACCAAGCGTTTCTCTGTGTGCCTGGGAAGTGAGCCTTGCCTGGTAGCTATTAGACGCTCGACAAATGGCTTTCTTTATCAGAGGGGAAGCAGTGTGGGAGGCGGCTGCTTCACACCTCCCAGGCAACAATATCACCTCCTGTGAGCTCTGCCAGGCACAGTGAGACTCTGCCACTGGCCATTGGTCCCGCGCCCAGCGCCCTCTTGCAGACTTCTTGCTTTCTTTCCCACAGCCTATTACCCTGC